AGAGCCAGAGGCCACCAAAAGTCCGGTCGCTGTAAGCGAGGCGATCGAACAATGCGACTCCTGGAATTTGCATTTAAACGGCACCAAAAAATGCTTTCAAAGCCCCGCATTTAATTCCATTTCGAAGCCTTATATTTTTGTTTAATTTAATTGTGGCTCTAAAAATATTTGTCCAGAGTATTTTGCATTTAAGCGATGCAGCTTTTGCGTCATCCTACGGATTAGACACACAGTCGACTGACAAGCACTCTGGCACAGAGTGGATGTGGAGTGGAGTGGATGAGGCGACAGCCGCCGTAGGCCTTGTTGCCACAGAATTTGCATCGGAAGCAAAGGGTGAGGGGCTTCGAATGGGGATGGAAAAATGTTGACGGCACAAAATAGCAGCACAAGCAGAAATTGCATCCCCGGGCCCTGAACGGGATAATCCATTTCGGCATAATAAATAAAGCAGTAATTGCCAAGTGAATACCAGCCAGGATCTATGAACTCTGGCCCAGCTCAGCTGCATGTCCCACGAGTCCCCCATGTGTGCTCCGTCCTGTCCCGTCCCATTGCCGTTCCTGTGGCAGCCTGCATAATAGACGAATTATGTTTGCCTCAGCAAAAATGCAAAGTATCAAGGACCCAGGAGCTGCGATGCCTGGCTGCATATTAAAGCAGCCGTCAAATGCCTTAATATATGCGGAGATTACTTTCATATTTCATGTACGGGCATTCAGTGTGCCCGTCCAGTGGGCCCGGAATTTAATTTTCACTGCCTGCGGACAGATAAGGAAGAACTTAAGGCCCCATACTCGTATCCTGACCTATCCTGTCCTATCGTATCATATCCCATCCTCTCCTGGTGTTTGCCAGCAGGAGTATTCATTCAAGTCGAGTGCTAGATGGGTGCTTGACTTTTGCTTGTGCAAAATGTCTGTCAACTTTGTAGACCGCGCACACGTGAACCGAGGGTCGTCAAGTGAGTCCCAGTGAGTGAGTGCAAGCCTGGCTCTGTGTGTATGTGGGCTGCAGATAACCTTTGAACCTTTGACAAACTGCTGCAGCGAACTTTCGCCATTCGTTTGGAAAATTTTAATAATCTTTTATCAAGCGGTCGGTATCCAGATCTTCTTCTACTACTACTACTACTTTCTATCCCCAGCCTCGTTCGTCTTGGTTCCATTTTTCGTCTTTCTTTTTCATTAAAACTTGTCAACTGCATATTAGGTGGAGGGGATGCTGATGCTGGTGCGTGTGTGAGCTTGAGATGGTTTTTGGAGGATGGCCATGGCCGACGTCTTGCCACATTGTTGCCGTGTCAATCCTTCTCGGAGTTTGTGGCAAGTGCTCGGCTTGAACTTTGCACGCAGCGGCTTTCGTGTGCATGTATTTCGGGGTTTTATGGATATTTTTCTCCTTTTTTTTTTCTTCGCAGCCGCCTTTGCCTTTGTGCTCCTAGTTGGCAACATTGTGCCCCGCCTTGTTAATCATTTCGGTGACAATGTGGCGCCCCTCCAACATCAGAATTGCAAATAATTCACTGCCAACGCCTGGTCGCCGGATGAAAATTCCCAAGGGGGAAAGGGGGTGTGTGTGTGTGTGTGTGTTTCTATTAGATACTGTATGTTGGCTCTGAGCTATGCTTTGATTTTACGCTTCGAGAGTTTCCATGTAGCCGCTGTTGTTATATGGAAAGAGTTGTGGTATACCGTACTGAAGTATATGATTTCCATTAATAGTATTTTATTTAAATTGTTGTAGAAATAATAATTCAATAAGTAAATATATTATTGGTATTTTTATTAGCATCATTTGAATATGAATATGATATTCAAAGGATCATGGCTTTTAATGTGCAATTGATCATAACTAAGCCAAAAATGCGTTAATTTTAATTCGGCAAGCTGCTCTTTGTTAGTTTTTGTTTGGTAAATAAATATGCATACTTTGTTTAACAATTTTAAGAAATTAAAATTTTTGCCAATTTTTGACAATTTTAACAATGTAAAATTAACGATAAAAATTTGAAAAAATTTTTGAATTTTTTTTTTCCCCCAAACATATCTTTATGTATTCGCCTGTTGTTTCTGATCAAGAATATATATGATTTATAGGGTCGGAAATGATTTCTTCACTGCTTTTTAGGCTTCGGAGTGAAATCAAAATACTTAAATTCTTAATTCAAATATTATAATTATAGCAGAATAATTTTCTATCATTCTACTTGAAATGAGTTAATTTGGTTATTTTTAATGATAATTTTAAAGAACTCTAATCATATAATTGTTTCTACCAATAGAACAAGCTTATCTTGCGAAAAGATATTTAGCAGGAAGCACAGCCCATATAAGTAGGCAATGGTTTTTCCCTTCACTCAAAAATCAAGTATACGGCACCCCTCAGTCGATTGTGTCTTCTCTACTGGCTTTAATTATGCACTCGTGGGTTGCCAGGGGAAACTTGTGATGGAAACTTGGGGCACCCACAGCGAGAGGGTGAAATTACAGATTTATAAATAAGCCAAAGCTCAAATCGAATTGCAGCAGCTATATGTAGCTGGGTTCGTTTGTAGCCGCTGCTCAACTGTCTTGTTGCCCTCTTGTTGCAACTCTCGTGCCACTTGTTTGCCATTTGTTCGTTTAGTTTACAATGCAATTAACCCATTTTAAAGTTCTGCCAGTCAACCGCAAAGGGGCGGAACCGAAGGCAGCGGCTAAAACCCCCATCCCCCCTTCTGGCTGACAAAAGACGTAGCTATTTCTTTTCCTCGGATTTAGTTTCTCCGCTGTGCCGCCAATTCCCTTTTTCCGACCATCAGGCGAAAATCAGTTTCACAGCAAACCAGCAAAAACTAATTACGACTTGCTCTGGCAAACTTGCAGCTTGAAATTGTACCGCAAAGTGCAATTTAGACGAAAGTCGAGGCATCAGCATCACACAGCTGCCTCAGCGGGAGGCAGAGCGCGAAATGCGAAATACTAAAGTCGACTCAAGTTGCGACGCGCGGCGGCGAAACAGAGCGCGTAAAAATTAAAAACGTCGACGTTCGGACGTGGAAATGTTGTTTTTAAATAATTAAATCCGCTTTATTAGAATATTAAACTTTTACGGCGGCCACCAGAGCGACCGCAGCCACGCTACAAGAGCCTCGATAAAATGTTAAAACATTTAGCCAGAGCTCTCTGACCAGGGGCACCGAGCGAGATCAAATTGCAGGTCTTCAGAAATTTGTAGCCGCCATGCGAAGCTGGGTCGGTGTCGGTGTCATAAATAAAGGGAGCAGCGCACAGCATGTGGCACACATATAAAAATCTGTAGGCCAAAGCCCCATAAAACCGATAACCTTGGTCCTCGACAACAGTGGCTAACAGCAGACGCTGCACTGAAATAAATAAAGTATCTACGAAATGAAATTACTTTTAAGGATATGAATATATTACTCTTTATGCAAATTATTAATAAACTGTTGACATATTTTAAGACAATGTTAATATGGAATAATAACATTGAGAAGAGGGAGTTTAGACTTACTTTACTTTGTTATTTATATATATTTTTTTCTCGGTGCCCATCTTCTCCGGTTAATGCCCATTCAGCGGTGGCGATGACAACAGCAGCAACCTGGCCCAGTCCTGGCGCGTCTTTTGTTGCCTGTTTTATGCGCCGCCCTGTTTATTTACGGCTATTTACCGCCTACATGATAAAAGCCTTTTGCTGGCATCGCGCATAAAAGCTGTGCTATCCTATCCGCTGCGCTATCCAAACCCCGAGATCTCCGGGAGTAGGTAACTTTTTGAGTAATTATATGGCCGGCGCAGATTTGTAGCGACCTACTTCTCCACGACTTGGGTCCGGTCCGGGATAGATACAAATATTTTATTGCCCCTTCAGGACATGAGCCGCACATAAGCGTACCACGTAGCGTATACTTGATGCGGGGTTACTGGATGCCCAGGGTAATAATGAAAACGATAGATAATTATGGACCAGGTTCCGCTCTCTCTCTCTCTGTGCCTTTTGTGGCTGTGACTTTTAATGGACTTTTCAGGATGCGGCCTGAAGTGAAAGTGACTCGCCGTTGGCGTCGGCGGCTGCATGGGTTAATCTAAATTTATAACTTAATTTTTTCATGAGTACATGAGTCGCGTCCCATGCCACTGACCACTGAGCAGCATCCTGCTGCCGGGCCGCAGTTTGTTTTTATGGCTTTTGAGGAATCTTTTTTTCCCCCTATGTAGTTTTCTCTGCACGAAGGCGATAATGAAATAATTTGAACTTTCCGTTTTGCTGATTTTTCTTCGGCTTACCCGGCTCTGGCACACTCTAGCATGTGTGTGTGTGTGGATAACGCAGCAAACTCATAAAATTATGCAAAACTTTGTCATTAAATATGGCACAAAAGGGGGCGGAGGTCCTGCCTGCCTAGGAACTATTTGTTATTTGGCTTTGGACTTTGCTCTTCAAGTGTTGTTTACCCGGCTCGCCTGCTCCACTCTATTCTCAGCTTTCCCCACGCTGTTCCCCTGCTTTTCCCTGCGCTTCTCTTTCCCTTTCCGGCCATTGTCGAAATTTTCATCGCACATGTGTGTGTGTGTGTGTGTGTGTGTGCTCAAGTGTATGCGGGGCGGAGTGTTTCAGGCACTGAGGGAAAAGGTTAAAAAACGGAACTTTTATAATTTAACTTGTGTGCTAATTGCACTTTGTGGGGTAATTTTGCGTGTCAGTGAAGTTTCGCAGACGCATGTGTGTGTGTGTGTGCCAGTGAACGCTTTAATGCCATGGCTTTGAGCACCAAAAAAACATTTTGTGAGGGCTGCACTTGAAACTTGTGCGGAGTTCAGTTTAAAGATCGCATAAACCCCGAGGAGTTTTAGTTTTTTGATACGATTTGCCCTGTAGTTTTTTTTTTTTGGCCAGAAGGGAACTGATTGGAGGAGCGAACTAACTTTTATCGTGCAACTGCAACTGAAAAATAATAATAATTATTTATTTGTTTTTCACATTTCCCTTTGCAGATACCAGGACAACACACAAACAACCATTTACTTGGCGCGTGTAGAAAACATACAGTGATAATTAGTTGCCTGTCTGGCGCAACAACAACAACAAAAGGGAGCTGTGCAATAAAAATTAATTAGAAAATATTTCACATCACACAGCCGCAATTTGTCAAGGGGAAAAAGCGCACAAAAGTATGCTTGCGGTCTCGCGCTCAATTTCTAATTAGAGAGATAGAGAGAGAGAGAGAGAGCTGCTCGCCTGCTCACAGCAAAAAAAAACCCTCAAAAATTAACTGAAGAGCTGGAAATTAAACAAAAGCAGCAAAAGCGACTATGCAAAGTATGCTGGGGCTTAACCATATGAAAACTTAAAGCGCTCCATCCCCCCAACAAAAAAAGGAACAAGAAGCAGGACTCCAACTCCACTGAATTTAACAAAAAAAAGAAAAGCAAAACTCCAAACTCCGCCGGGCGCGGAACAATGAGAATCATTTCGCGCAGCATACGTTCTGGAGACTCCTCTGTACTCTTTAGGAAAGGCAACCGCGCAACGTTCAAAATGAATTGCCCCATTCTGATTGTAATTAGCCTCGGCTGGCTGCTGCACGCTCACGGCGGAAGCAACGGGGGCGCCGTCGAGGCCGCCATTTCAAATCGAGGTAAGTGATTCGCAGACCCATGCCCCATGCCCCACGCCCCATGCCCCACCAGGTATTGCGTAGCACCCAGTCACAACTGATCCCGAACAATAGCAATTCCATACACGTAGCAAAAAATATATATATACTCTTTCAAGCAATCGGTTGTTGAGGAGAATGAACATGATATTATACTTTAGAATATAGAGTACATCTTCCCTTTTCTCTGTGTATTTATTTCTACATCGCTTCACCATCATCAACGCTTTTTATTTCGCTCAGCACTCAACGCAAGTTGCATTTATGTTTTTACATAATAGGAATGACGAAGGGTGTAGCAGGGGCAATATAGTTAGAGCGCTGGCGGGGCACAAAAAAATGAATGTAAAAAATATATATAATAAAATACTCTAGAGCGGGCACACTTCCCCCCGTAATCCCTTTTTGCTATTTTAATGCCGATGTAACGCTGCATAAATCCAGGCGCCGGGGTCCTCGAGCACGTTGTGGTGTTTAATGCCAGAGCCGCCAGCGCAGAGCTCTTAAACAACAAAAAAAAAAAGAATAAAGTTGAGTAAAAGCTCAACCAGAGATAGGGAAAACCAAGCGGGGAAAACCCGGACGCAGCTAGGTCATCTGGTTGGCGGTCAGCTGAGCCATTACTCTAAGCCGGGAGCGTGGTGGGCCGCCGCACTAAGCCGCAAAATTAATAACTCGTTATGGCCGCGGGAACTTAAGCAGTTGCCGTCGCTGCATTTAAGCGTCAAACTTTCAATTGCAAAGTTTTTTCTTACAGTCACAGGACCAGAAATAGAGTCCTCGATTATAAGTTGGCGAAAATGCTGAAAATATAGTTGACCTTTCGCGGTACCTGGAGTCCATTGTCTTTCAGTTTTGCTTTCCTTCTATTAGGCCAGGAAAACATTAAATAAATTGAAAACTCAGGTGCGCCGCCAGCAGGCTTAAAGCCAAAGGAAATTGAGTACACGGGGCGTATACGCAACCAGCCAGCAGCGCACCCATAAAAACAAATTCACCATCCAGGGCTATATTTTCCTTTGGTAACTTTTGCCAACCAATCGATAAATTTAAGAGCACAACATTTGTCTCCATTATCGCAAAAATCCGAAGGCAAACACTGTGCAAAAAATGCGGCAAAGGGCCACAGCACAAAATACAAAAAGAAAAAAATGAAAATGAAAAAGAAAAATCTGAAAAAATAAACGAAAAACTGCGGAGCGCATAAAAGACCCATCGATGCGTGGCACCGGGCGCTCCCGGCTCCTGTTTTCGGACTTTTCCAAGGTGGGCGGGGCTTAGAGTGGGTTACCGCCATTCCACACACACACCCCCAAACTCCCTCCCTTACCCAAGGCCACCTCCCATAACAACAGCCACCCATCGACAGAGCCACAAAAGGGGCGGGCACAATAAAACAGAACAAACCAAAGACAGACCTGTTCTTATCCCCAGCTACATCTGCAATATAGAGAGTGGAAAAAGGGGCAAAGGCAGTAAAGCTATATCAAAGGTGAGAATGTGCTTTTGTCACTGATCATAAATTTCTTACTTCACCATCTACCTTTAACGTTTGCTTTCGCTTTGGGTCTGTACACGGAGAAAAAATAAGAACACTAAACTTTGGAACTAAATGTAAGAATTCATATTTAAATAGACATCATTAAGCCCTGTTTACAATGAATGTGATAAAGATAACTTGTATAAAAAATACATTTATCTTACCTAAAGTAAATTAAATCTTAAACTTCTTCATTCACTGATAACATATATTTCTCCCAGTGTCATCAGTGCAAAGAACCAGGCAATAAAACGTAACAATTGACATTGGAACGCACTGAAAAGGGATCCCAGTTCGAGCTCGCAAAAAGGACGAGTGGAAAAGGGATGCTGCTGGCTCTGATAGCAGCAAATTGGCGGGACATTCGTCGGGGGTGGGAAGAATGGGGGAAGAATGGGTGCGAAGGTTGCATCGCCTTGACAAATGTTTATTGAGTAACACGAGCCATAAACTGCAAGAGCTCCGCTTGGCTCTACTGCCGCCCGCCCGCCCGGTGCCCAAACTTTCCGCTTTTGACCCACTTTCGTGGGCAGATCCAGAGCTCCACCAAGCTCATCCCCTCTGCAATTTTCTCGCATCAGTTGCCTGTTTGAAAATCTGGTGCACGTGATGCACTTGAAGGATGCGCAGTGGCTCACAACTAGCAACCCATTTTATAAACTGACAACAATTTTTCATAAGCAGAAGCAGCAGCAAAAGCTGGAGCTGCATCAGCATCATCAGCAGACAGCAGCAAACACAAACAACAGCTGTTTTCCGCCTCGAGGGTTGCCAGCGCCAGCTTTTCCCAGCCATCCAACCAGGCCCCCTCGCACAACTAACACTGCATTTTTGCATATCTGGCTGTTTTGTTTGGCATTTTTAGTGATTTCACTTAAATTTTCATAACAAAATATGCACAGTGCGTGCTTGCAGCTCAGTTTTGGCTCAGAGCAGGCGGAACAGCGGGGGCAACATGTTCTGGCTGTCATATATTTTTTCAACAGATTTTTATTTTTTTTGGCCAGCCCCTCCCCGTTCTCTCAGCGGCTAAAACCGCATTTTGTATGTTTTTCAGATGCTTCTGGGAAATTGTTCATAGGGTTAGTTTTTTCACCCGCCAATTCGTCCTTCTTCTCCTCAAACTCTGAGCCATGTTAGCGCGCCAGCGGGCGGGCTTCAGAGCTCAGAGTAGGGAAAGGGATCGACGCTCCGGGCTGGCAAACGGCCTGACATGGAGTACGTGTTTGTATGCAGACCTCGCCTCGATTTACTGATCCCACACTGGGAAAAAAAATACATAGAAAAAGGATTTGGAATTCAAAACATTAAGAAATAATGATAGAAAGTTTATTACATTATTTATTGATCCCCCTTTTCCAAGAACATTTCTATACTGGTTCGTATGAAATGGAGCTACAAAAAGCTATTACAACTATTAAAAGAAGTGATTAATAATTTCATAGTGTATTGTATTTGTTAATTATTCTGATCTATGTTTCTCCAAAAACCCTGCTTAGATTCTAGAACCAATATTAAGACATATCTCAAGAACCAACTCACCTAAACTTTAGTTTTATAAATTAATCTTTAGTCTAGTCCAAGACTTTGTTTTCCACTTGTCAAATAAATATGACAAAAATTACTCTAAGAACAATAAACATTAGCTTATCCCTAAAACTAGTTTCTTTAAAAGAAAAATGTATACAAAATAGTATAATCCCTCCAATGATTTTCTCAGTGGGTAACAGTTTCTGCTCTATCCAAACCGACTGTAGTATTATATTTGCGAATCCCTTTGGGTATGTTGCCGGCAATAAATTTCCATCAGACGCCGTCGCGTAGTCGTCGTTGTCGTTTGTGCCAGGCGATTTTTCCAGCCTCTCGCCGACCGCGCCTCCATTTCCATTAACTGGGAACGCGATTGCTTCTGCGAGTGCCGGGGCCCCAAATGCCAATCCCTTCCTGCTGCTGGCTTCTGGTTACTGGGGAAACAAATCTCTGGCTCAGCTGGTTTGTGTTGCGGTTTTTCCGAATTCGTTTTGATTGTTTGTCATATTTCCGTGCATACAATTCATTTTCTATTGCCCAGAAAGCGGAAGCGGCTCACCGGCCCCCGTGGTGTAAGGCTCAATTACGTGACCAGAGCGACCCGGGACAGCTCTTCGCCATCTCTCTTTCTTTCACACCACTCTTCCAGGGATGACAATATTCCGGGCTTACACGGACTCCGGGCTCCCCAGCCAGATGTAACCGACTACGGATACATTCATATACGCTGTCATGTTTGCCTGGCTGCGCCTCCGCTTCGGTGGAGCATCGTTGTATCAATGAAATATGTTCCAAGGGATCTGGGCAAGGCGGGAAAAATGCTGGGAATATGAACGATTCCCCCTGAGGGTCGGCGGCGCATAACTTAAAACAAATACGAAACTGCAAAATATACGAGCGGGCAAATGGAAATTGAAAATATCCTATTACCAGGGGATTGACGTCGACAGCAACACCACCGATGCTGCCTGTAATTGAAGGCTTCACTTAGCGGGGATTTCGCCAGGATCATGTAGGAGTAGGCTGCTATGTTCTAAACATTCTCTATATACATACATATATTTTGTTCGAATATTAGCATAGACATTTGCACGCTGTGCGTCCCTGGGGCGATTTGCCATGCGATAATTATGGCGCTGGCAACCCGAAAAAGACGAAGCGAGAAATCCCCAAGAAAATTTATTAATTAGCACCAGCGTGGGAGGACACAGGGACTGGAGCTGGGACTGGGACTGGGACTGGAGGCGGTACCAGCACCGCACTCATGTTCTGTGGCTCCGGACTCCACTCCGATTCCGCTCTCTCTCCCCCTCTTACCAATTAAAGCCAATTTTGCCATGTTTCGCCTTATTCAAATGTGTTTTCCCAACTCCTCCGGGGATACATGCTGGGTTGGTTTTGGGTTCGAAAAGTAGGCTTTTTGTGGGGGAAGGTGGGGAAGGGAACCGCCGGGTCGGTGGATCGGAATGGGTCTGTAGCATCCACTAATCGCATTATTAACGCGCCGTTAACATTTTGCGACATTGACTTGAACTTTGGAAGTGACTTTCATGGCTAAGGCATAAGGAAGTAGGAGGGGTATGGCGCTTGGCATTCAAAATATGCTTAGAAGACATGGCCACCGTCGAAAACGTTTATATAATACCCTTGAAGTTTTCGGCATTTGCCAAATTTCGCTTGAACGACCGCCGCCAAGGACGTGGGGAAGGTTTCCCCCCACAAAATGCCATGTTCCATGGCAATGCCAATTCGAGACGTAACGAAACGAGCCCCTCGACTTCCGAGTGTCTTCGGACTTCGGCCATAATCATAATAATTAATACCCATTTACCTTATTTTGCCTGGCCGGCCTGAAAATCAAGCCATTATCGCCCCCATCCACTTGCCAGAGTGATAATTACGGCCGCCCATGCACAGATTGTTGGCTCTCCCGAAAATTATGCACTATATACTAATGACAGTCCTCTCGGAGGTGCAATGTGGGGCGCATAATGAGTGCGCATAAAGTTTTATGGCCCCCATCCTGGGGGATAGTGCGCGGCCGGTGAACTCCAAACAGGTGAGCCATCGACAGGTGCACGAGGAGAAATCAGAGGAAAACACAATACAAATTGACTTGAAGAGTATGCTTATCTCTTTAAGTTTACTCAGATTATAAATAACATTCCTTGAGCTTCAAAATATGTTTATATTTTACATAAGTCAAATCAGTTTTCAAGTAATTGCATTTTCTTTCGGTGCATGAGTGCGTGCCAAGCAACAATGCCATTGACAGTGGCCAGGAACCTGCAAAAAACAAAAAAATGAAGGACGAGAATTTCATCTCCCTTCACCCTTTGAATGCAAAATTTTTTGCAGCGTTTTTTTTAAATAAAATGCCAGAGGAAAAAAATATCAAGCCAAATGACTGTAATTTGCATTGGCAACTCCAACAAAGAGACGCGGCGCAGTTTAACACCTGCACACGAGTGTTGGTCGGAGTGTGTTTGTATTGGACCTTTCAATTTAAACACACACACACAGAAGCACCCATTGCCCAAAGTGTGTGTGTGTGTGTGTAAGTGTTTGCACGGACTGTTTGCAGCACGTCACAAAAGTTTCCTGTTGAATTTCCCTTTATTTCCTGGCCAAAGAGATTATTATTTTCATTTCACGGCATGGCCAACGACACAGAAAGCGGAGACATAGGGCGGAGGTGTATATAAAATATACCTAGAGTGTGTGTGTGTGTGTGTGTGTGTGTGTGCGAGAGGGGGTCGCGGTCTCATTTTCATATTTATGCTGTCGCCCCGAAAACTGTTTACTTACCAGCCGTGTATCGCCTTCATTAACGCTTCATTCGCGGCGGACTTTTAATTTTCAGGGCGAGCTGTTAAGGCCAGGGTTTTTCAGCTTTTCGCGTTTGCTTTCCTTTCTTTTCTCCTTTTCGGGCAACTTGCCACATCCGAACAGTATATCCGTATATCCGCACATTCGCATATTCATGTATCCGGATATATGTATATCCGCATCCTTGAGCTCGCCTTCGTCTCGGCGACGACCGACGACCGATGGTCCGGTCGTCCTTCGTCCTTTCGTGTCGTATATTTGCATACTTCCGGTGCGCGCAAAATGATTATCATTATTATTTGTGTTGTGTTTGCTGTTGTCGTTACCGCGGCCATTACCGTTATTGCAACGCTCCTTGGACGGGGATGTCCTGGAGCTCCGAAAATGGCCGCCGATGTCGATGCCGATGAAGGGGAGCCCGTCGGTGGTTATGGCTTATTTGTGCAAATGAGCTGACGTCCATTACATTGTCCACGGGGAGGCGAAATGCAAATGATTGTTTTGGCGTTGACTGGCTCAATGTCTGCCACTCACACTCGCACTCACACACAACAAGGTCATCGAAGGACCCCCAAGGACACTCTGCCGCGGCCACACATGAACGCATCAATTGCGACCAAAGGGACCCCGCCTCTGTCTCAAGTGAAAGTAAGTGATGGCCTCGCTCGACTTGGCCCACATGCCATTGTTTGCCAGTGCAAGGGCCACCTGAGTGGGAGAATAAAGCGTAATTTCCCCGAGCAGATCCCTGATTGATTTGCGGCTATAAATTGGCACATTTACTTATCGAAATAAAACTGGGGTACTGCGAAAACTTTCGGCCACAAAATGCTGGCCAAGTTAGCACGTTGCGCAAACAAATTGCACCTGCTACGCTTTGATTGGCCACCTGCAGTTTCGCCTGCTTTGCAAGCCAGGTCGTAAAACACTTTTGCCTATTTTCGCTGAGTTGGCTTCACTGGATGCTCCTCGTTGAGTTCCTGCTCCTCCTGCTGCTCCTGCTGTTGTTGTTTTTAAGAGCCATTTGTCCGATGCCCGCGGCTATTTACAGCCATTGTACAGACTTGGCGAATTTATCAAGCATGGCGGAGTCGCTCACTGGGTCACTGGTTGGAGCAAGTGGATGTTGAATGCCGGATACTAGACGCTGGACCGGGACAAGGAAAAGCGGAAGCTGCAGCTGGCGTTTCCGCTCACTGCCACTCCCAGTTTTTCCCCAGCTCTCTCTTTCTCTCTATTGCTCTGTCTCTTGGCTTAATTTCAAAACAGTTGCGCTTATATTGGCAGTTATGCTGCAAATTTATTGGCATGCTTTGTAAACTGGGTTAGTTGCATGTACATATATCTCACAGCCGCAAGCTGCGAGCCAAACGATTAACGTTGAGTAACCCAAATTGATGTCGCTACCCACAAACCGCCATCGCCCTCCTCCCATGGAACATCATTTTTTCGCACTCAGCTAAGTTTCCGTGGCGGCTGCTGATAGTCCATAAATTCTCATACATTGTCAAGTAATAGCTAAACCCTGTTTACCCCCCGACAGGCAAAAGTTCAACAAGATAAAAACATACTTCGTAGAAGCAAAATAGGTTTCATAATCTTTCAACACAGAAAGAAAAAACGGATGACTGCAAAAAAACATTGATTTAACTGTGATTAAATCCTACACTCATTTATTAAAAGCAACGATTAGCAATCAATTCATTTTAGAACTAAATAAGTCTGTCTTGGTTTAAGGTACATAGAGCCCATTACATTCTCTTTAATGGGAATATTCAAAGAAATTCAAGACCAATGTGAAGCATGTGTAGAATTTCATTAACACCTAATGAATGTTGAAGAAAACTTTCAATCTATTTCAAATTTAAATCAGGAAGCCCCGAAGCTCTGTTCTTCAGGTGCATTTTAAGTTCAAAACTTATGCTATTCAAAGTCATCAAATTGGCGACATTGTATCTCCATGGAGTGCCCGTCACCGAATGGATTAGCAAGTGCAACGCCTGACTTGGGTTAATCCGGCGTGCGTGCTGTTTTTCATTTGGAGGTCATTAACCTAGCGAAACCCAACTTTCGCTGGAATGTGTGCTCGGTGAGCGATATCGTTCAGAAGACTGAAGACCTTCGTGGGGATCAGACTGCAGTGCGCAGTGTTTCGACAAGAATTGTGGCGACGTAGACGACAGGAGTATTATAGATAACCAATAGGAGGACTGATAGAGAGATCGGAATGAGGCACAACCTGGTGGCCCACCTGTACTGTCTGACTCGGGACATGTATGCCGAGCATGGGGATCCCCGCGTGGCCCACCTCCCACTGGTGGGCAATTTGTGGATTGTGTTGGCCCTAATCGGACTGTACCTGGCCTTTGTGCTTCACTACGGACCCCGCTGGATGGAGCACCGCGATCCCTTCGAGCTCAAGCGTGTGATGCAAGTGTATAACCTGGTACAGGTGGTGGCCAATGCGGTGTTGTTCGTCATTGGCCTGCGCTACACGTACCTGTATCCGACCTTTAGCTGGACATGCCAGGGAGTGGATCACACGGACACCTCGCCACAGATGATGACAACGCTGTATGCCTCGTACGGATACTACATGCTGAAGTATCTGGATCTCCTGGATACGGTTTGTTCGGCTTTTAAATCGCTATCTAAAATGGCAAAGTAATCGAATGTGTGTACTCACTCCCATAGGTGTTCATTGTGCTGCGCAAAAAGAATGCGCAGGTGAGCTTCCTGCATGTTTACCATCACGGCGGCATGATCTTCGGTGTGTCCATCTTTATGACCTTCCTGGGCGGATCCCACTGCACCATGCTGGGTGTGATCAACCTGCTGGTGCACACCGTCATGTACGCGTACTACTACGTGGCCTCGCTGGGCGCTCTGAAGCAGATACTTTGGTGGAAGCAACGGATCACGCAGCTGCAACTGCTGCAGTTCGGATACCTCACCTTCCACTTCCTGCTGGTGATTGTGCGGAATCCGTGTCAGTTCCCCGCCCTCATCGCCTTCATCGGGTTCATCCAGAACATCTTCATGTTCTCCATGTTCTTCGACTTCTACTACAAGACCTATGTGCGCAGGCAGCGGAAAGTTACCCCAGAGTCCCAGCTGAAAGCCAACTGAGCCGGGGGCTGAAAGTATAAAGTTCAAGTTCACATCGCGCCATTTCCATTTAAAATTGTGTAATAAGCGGTCGGTCGCTTATGCAAATGGGCTCCGATCGAACCCAAGCTGCCTGCCCTATAAATAAACATTCGGATTGTGTCCCACCCCTCCGCTTCATCGCCACTCATCAATTGTTTTGCTTTGGTAATCAATTTCAATTTGCCGCCGGCCCAGTCCGAAGACTCTCTCTTCTAAACTTGGAAGGAAAAAAGTTCTCTCCCGGCCGCCTGGGAAAACGGCAGCGACAAGTTATGAAGTAAGTTTGCTGCCTGCCATATCTTTTATTAAAGGGTTAAATGAAATATCGATGAAGTAGGGCAGCCAGTAATGGTCGCCACGTGTGCCAGTGCCATGTGTCGTCGTATGTGGCCCAGGGCCACCTTTTAACTTTCTGGCCAATGTTATTTTTTTCTCGGTCCGACTCAAAGCCAAAGCCAAAGCCAAAGAGGAAAGAACCCGGCAGCCAAAACGGCTGCTACCCCATGTTAAACACAGTTGCCTAGAAGGCAGCCAGCCCTCATGCACGGCTTATTCATATAGATGTATTTTTTTGTATATATTTTTTGCTTTGGCATTTTTCCTTTACCGAAGTTTTACATCTGCTTTTGCTCCCTAAAAGCGAGCCGGGGGGAGGAAAAAAATGAGGCAAACCGCTTTAAAAATGCTTGTAAGCCGCAGGGCAGCGTTTGTGCCTCGTTTAGGCGCCCGCACAATATTTTTTCAGTTATGTAAATTTCGGCCCAGTCGGCATCAAAGTTTGTGCGCAGTCGAGCGAGATCCTTCGATGGCAAATTAAAAGCCAACAAACCGAAGGTCGCCTGCCAGCCTTCCTTTATTTTTGCGGCTGGCGCAAATGGAGCTTATTAAGTGGCAACAGCAGATCATTGCCAGTCGCTTGTCAGGCTCATATTGTGGCCAGCCTCCGGGAAGGCGACCGACGGATTCCGTCCAGCTCCAGAAGTCGTCAGTCTCCAATCCGAAATGCCAAAGTATCTGCATGTCTGCACTCAAAAATAAAGTTGCAAGTTCTCAAAGTTCCGGCTTTTGAGTAACTCAAATGAAAGTCATCTCACAAGAATAGAAGAGAGCTTCCTTGCTAAAGTTTATAATTAGTTTACTTAACTAAACCATAATAATTCCTCTGTTAAGTACTCAAAATAATTATTAAATGATCATCGAAAGACAAATGTATATTCAGATTGAGTCACCTAACATGATTTTCCTTTACCTTATCTCCTAAAATATTTTACTTATCAATAGCTACATATATTCTTTAAGACTTAGTCATATTTTCCCCCAGTGTAGGCTGAGTTGTTGTGCGTTTGCCAGGGACATTAAAACTTTTCTAATAACGAACTTCTACGACTGAAGCCGAGCGTAAACATTCGAGGCGGAAGCTGCTCGGCGGATGTTGTGCATGTTCTGCCCGGAACTTATATCCGGGGTCATGCATCTGTATGTAACATACATACATTACATACATGTATGAGATACAATGTAGCCCAGCATCATTAACATCCGTTCGGGCAATGATCGTTGCCAAAAAGGGTTCAATGAACTCGCAGAAGGAAGAAGGGATATCAATCAGGGGAAAAAAGATTGGTAGCCGAGCGTGGAGCACATGGCTTACATGGCGTATGCTCGATATCTCCCGCCATTTATGACTCGCATGGCATTTAAGTGCTGGCCGTAAAACTGTTATGTAAACTACGATTGCGAATGCGATTCTTTACGGCCACTCACTCGCACAGCATTGCAATGGCCATGGCCGTCCATTACTCAGCATAAAACTTGGCCAGAAGGAAAGGACGAAACTCCTTGATTGCGCCCATGTACGCGAATGTATCGAGTGGGTCACGACCGAAAGCCTGCGACAATGTTTGTTGCCGAATGTAAATATTAAGAACGGCTCGTACAGTTCCCATTCCCTCCATTTATTCATGTAACCCACACAGTGGCACTCCAGCAGGTCCCTGCGCAGCTTTTACGACACGTGCTCCAGTGCATTCCAATCAATTCCCCGCGGGGTCAAACAACCTGGTAGAGTATGTTCTACCCCCAAAAGAGAGGAGACCTCGGGCAATTATCTAGAAATGTAGGCTAATCCTGTTTACCTTTTCAAATTATCAAGAGCAAATCAATTTGCCATTGATGTTGTGCTCGCACATTTAGCCCCCGGGGCCAAAAAGCTCTTTATAATCCAATGAAAATGAACCCGAATATTAAGCGACCCAAATCTGGAATCTCTTTCATGTGTGCAGGTAATCAAGTTGCCCCCAAAAGCTGCTCCTTTCACCTGTTGCTGCCCACGCGGCGGCAGCGGATGCGTAATGAAGAAATCTAAATTCCATTAAGTTTATGCTCGCTTCCGTTCGCAGTTCAGTGCTCAATGAAAAGCACTTAGAGAGTGACCTTTTCTATGCTGCTCCCGATCCCATCCCACTTTTTCCACATCCCACCAGATAAAGCCAAATAACAAACACGGTAGCGGGAGACGGGGGGCGTCCAAAAATGGGTCACAACATTTTGGTAAGCTCAACGTATTTGCCTAATGGAGATTAGCTGGCATTTGGTTTTATTTGAATTCTGTGCCTAGGCTTGGCAATTTATTGCCGATGCTTATCGATTTTTATCGATGCCCCAGCCTGCCTGCGACTTGTCCCATGTCTCCCTTTTTCCGGTCTTGGCGCTGAGCCCTGGCAATGTCACACTTAAGCACTTTGTATGTTTTTATCGCTGTAATTTTTGGTCTAACAAAACAATAAATTCACTCCATCCGAGCGCTCACTTGGAGTGGCAGGTGAACTGCTTTGGCGGGAACTGGAACGGGAACTAAGTTGAAATCCCTAATAAATTTACGGTCGAGTGGGCGGTGGGTGGTCTTATCTGAGGGCGAGGCAATTTCGTTAATTTGTAAGTACACGGCGGCGTAATTAAGCGAGATTTGAAATATGTGACAGGCGGGCCACGCATGTGTATAACTCTCGAATAAATCAAAGTAATTAACTGCAAGGGTCTGACATGCAACAGGTCACGGGGTCACGCGGCACAATTACGGCCGCAGTGCAAAGTTATCAATATCTGGGTTAACAAAGGGTCGGGGGAAGTGAACACACTGGGAAGTAAATCACACATTATGTGGCAATTTTTATCGGAGATTTTTATCGGAGATGGCTAGATCGACTCGGCTTTTGATGCTGATCAAGAATATATTTGATTTATGGGGTCGGAAATGACTCCTTCACTACGTTTTAATCTTCTGACTACAATTAAAATATCCTTTAAGGGTATAATAAACGAAATATTGTTTAAATTAGTACTCTAAAAGCAAGGTAATTTTTCTCCAAGTGCCTGAGTTGTTTTCGATTTCCAACCAGAAAGCCTTTTCGTGTTCATCCAACATAATCAACTCAATTAATACTGAAGCAGGAAAACAAAACTGAGGAGACGGGAAAAGAGACCGAAACTGAGAGCGAGACCTGTCAAAGGAACAAGTGTAGAAAAATCAATGCGCAGCTGGTCATTAATAATGCACTGGCCACTAATGCACTGCTAATATCTAAGCCAATGGCATTTCCCGGCCAGCGTGAAACTTTGTGTTTGACTTTGACAAACTTTGCGACGCAACTTGTGCGCACTTGTGTGCCAGCGACCAACTTATGACTTATCAATGACCGAGCTCTGGTTCGCTTGATTGAACTTTCGGATGGTGCGAGTGCGACTGCGACTCCGAGTGCGGTGTGGCGTCAGGACAAACTTTCCGGCAGTGTCTCCACCTTGGATGGCCACTCGCTCAGCCACTCAGTCAGTTGCAGCCATAAATCAATACATTTCAATTCCATCTCGTTCGGATGCATTCGAGAGACGCGGCGAGGCGAGGCGAGTGCCCTGCCAGTCGAGTGCCCTGCAGAGTAAATAACCGACAAGGACTTTGCCAAGGACTTGAGCAATATCAGGCATAAATAAGCATTGCTGTTCCGTCACTCGCACTCCTGCCACGGGAATTATCCGAACAGCAGCCAGGAGTGGATGGGATATAATGGAGATTCCACAGGCGGCAGCGTCTCTAATGAGCTGGAAGCGAACGCCCTTTCGGATGCATCCTGTGAAGGAGAGAGTCTTCTACACTCCGAGTAAATCACGTAGCTCTTGCACTCATTAGCCGGCGTAGTAGTGCCAACATTCCGACTGGGAAAAACACTTTAGGACTGCCAAATGGCTGCCAAGATGGGGGCCAGGGAAATAAATGTTGAAATAATATGCTTTATTGTATTGCCAGGCGTTGCCATGAATTTTGTTTCGCTTTTATATGGCTATTAATTTTTATTAGGCCGGGAACACAGGCACATGAACAGGTGCTGGTGTGCCAAGACACCAAGCTGCCAAAATGCCATCCCATTCTCATCCTCATCCCTGTGTCCTCACCTCATCGGGCAGCCAAGTCGAGTGTGTTTACAGAGGCGCCAACAAAGGCCATATCCATGGACTCCGCACCGACAGGACTTCGGCCGACTAACATTGGAAATTGCCTGAAACGAGTTGTGGACAAACAACAGATACACAATTGGGTAAACTTGGCCAAAATAAATACGGAAAAACATTTGTACAAATAAAATAAAATGCTAATACCGGCAGCCGCAAATATTGTGCCACAGAGTGCAACAATAATAAATTTTACGCACGCGGAAGGCGGCGAAGCTTTTAGCCAGAAAACAAGTTTTTAGGGGACATTTGTATATATATATATATGATGCTAGAGATGTACAAATTGCAGGATATATAGGAGAATATATCGGAATATAAATCAAAGAGAAATATGGTTTTTAAGATAAAACTATTAATAATACTAAGCAATTTAGATTTAAAGTCCTTACCTGCTTGTCCAGGTGATAGGAATTAAATTATACTTTAAAGCTCCGATAAAATATCGAGGTCCTGGACAAACTATGAACTGTCAGTGTCAACGGACCAAGGATCGGAGAAAGGGTGACGACAATGGCAAGGATGGTGGCCCAAAAATCGTTGCCGCACGTCTGCACACAGAATGCAGTAAACATAAACTACGAGTGCAGAGGGCGACCGAGCGACCACACCCACAACAACCAGAACTAGAACCAGGACGC